TAATATTTATTAATTGTGAGAACATTAGTTAATTTTAAACATAATTTAATAAAACCTTTCTATAATCAAAAAAATATAAAATGAAAAATTATTTAATATTTGTCTAAATAACACCTTTAAACACTTTTATTTTTTTTTCTAGAGCAAGGAAAAATATTTAACAATTTTTAAAACTGCAATAGAGTTGAGTACACTAATCCCAGATGTTTAAAATATATTAAAAAATTAAAATTTTAATCAAATCAACAGGGGGTATTTACTCTTATTTTATTTCTTAATCCTGATTTTTTATCAACGATTCATCGTATTTATGTTTGTGTTATCTATATTATTTAAATACGAGAGTATTTTAAAATTTTGAATTAGGTATGAAGAAATATTATTTACAAAGCGATTCACAGTAAATTTCTTTATCATATATTAAGAAATTAACTATGAATAAAAGAAAAGTTTTTTTTATAAAAAAATTTCATTTGATAATTTTAAATAATTTCTTGATGAAAATTGGATCATATATTTATGATTTGTATATTTTAATATTTAACTCATTTATGTGATCTTATCTTTAATGCAACAGACTTAAACAAATTTTGTAGAGGTTATTTAATGTCAATTTCTCTAGTTGTTATTAATTCTACCAAACATTCAAATACTTATAATAATGGATGTGGTTCTAAGTTTAAATCCTTTAATGATTATAATTCCAATAACAGTTAAATAATTTCTTAAACTCTTTTTCTACTTAATGGCATTGATCCTGACATATATTCATCTTTCATAAATTAAGTTACTAAGGATTAACAAATCTAATTTAAAGTCATTAAATTTTTAGGTTTTTTGAATACAATATTTATTAATTTTAATCTTGTATCGTAAAACAAATCTTCTAATTAATATAAATTAATATTTCTAGATAGTAATTCCCAATAATTGATGATTTCTCTATCCAAAATATTTTATGAAAGTAACCATTCACAAATTTATAATTCTACATCAATACAACTCTTTAATCCATCAATACTTATTATTTTATCCCATTATTAAGTTAAGTTAAGTTATTCAGATAAAAGTTAAACATATTCATCTTTTTAACAAAATTCTATAGTTTCAATAATTAGAGGTAAAACCTAAACCCACAATGGTTTATTAGTTTTATTATAGTTTTTAACATTATTAACTTTATGCTAGTTTTATCTATTTGAAAGTTGAATAAGACAAATTTGAATGTATTCTTTGATAAGTTCAGTATCAGTTAATTATTTATCTTATATATATTTATTCAATAATTATGTATATTTAAGAATTACAAGATCTTATAATTTGGTCATTCCACCTTCCTTTTTCATATTTGATAAGAGAAAAGTATAAAATTTAGATTTATCTCTTTAATAATTAAGATGCACATAAAAGTCTTCTGCAAAATCATGTAATTGTTTTTCATCCATCCATATTTTAATATTTGATATGTTTTCAATATTTATTGGTAAATCTACAATTGCTTAGTAACTTTCATATAGATCATCAATGAATTCTTCTGTAAAGGAATTTTCCTTTTTACTGTGAGCTTTAAGAAATAATACATATAATTCGCAAACCTCAGGTAAAATTTTATTAATTAATGTTTTAACATCTCTATTATCTTAAATCTTTTAACCTATAAATTCTTATATACACATAATAAATTCTTTGGCCCAATCAAATTATTCAACTAAGTTTTTTTCAATCATAATTTCTGTATTTTCTTTTATCAAACGTATAATTTCCCATCTAAGATCTAAATTATTAATTTTAAATGAAATTATTAATCTTATAAAAATTTCATTATATAATTATTAAGCTTATTATTTAAATTCTTAATCATCCTGTTAACCAATCTTTTTCAAGAATTTTGTTAAATTTTAAATCATAATCTTAAGAGTTTCTTCCCATGCTATAATAACTTCACTTTAAGTTTTCATTGGAGTTTATAAATCTTTTTCTGAAAATTTAGTAAATTTAGGAAAATCTTCTTCTTTTAAATATTTTGGAAGTTTCATATGAAATATAACCTATAATTGTTATAATTAAGCAACTCTTCCTATCAAATCATCTAAAATCTTAAATATTAGATTTTTAAGCAAATCAATTTAAAAATTAATTCTAAATGAACCACAATTTATCAATATAATTTAAATTATTATATGTAAAGCTGATTATCTAACATCTGGTGCATTATCTAATGATAAATCTTTTAAACTCTATAAAACGACAGTCCATAATTCTTCTACTTCAGTTTATGAAGTTTGATTTGTGCAAATTTTACTTAAATTATCTGCTAATTACCAGATTAAACCAACTGATACATAATTAATATTTTATTCTGTTGTTCTTTATCTAAATTATTTTATTAAAGGTAATAATCTTCTTGTTGTCTTAGGATCCAATAAATGCATAAATTATCCAATTAATAATTCTAAAATATGAAAACCAATATTAACATATCCTGTTGGTTCTGTTTCATCGCAACTGATTAATAAAATTTCAATTATTGTATTAAACCCTAAAATGTTCAATTCATGTCCATTATTTTATATTAGTTTAAAAATGATATTCAATAAAGTTTCTTTGACATCAGCATATGGAATTTTGATCATTTATTAAATAGGACTTAATAAATGAGATTGCCAACTATTTCCTTCCCAACAAAGACTTTAATCAGGTCTCAAAAAATATATAAATCCTTATTAAACTATTTGAGAAAATATTTCTAATGCTGATTCTCTAAATGCCTTATGTTTATAATTTGCTATGCATAAAAAATGAGCTGTAATAAAATCCCAAAATTTATTAATTCTAAACCAATTTTATTTAGTTATCTAATGAATCTTTTATAATCCAAATTATATAGATTTAGAATCAACTAAAGTTTACACATTGTTAAATTATTCCATTAGACTTAATGTCACTTAATTTATTGCTTCAATCATATGAAGCAAATTAGTGTCTTCATATACATGACTTGATTAGAATAAACCATCTAAAATATTATTTAATAATGCTATTTCTTATTAATAAATTTCAGGATGTTGCTCTTATTGTATAGCATTTTAATTTTATGACTTTTAAAGAAGTGTCTCAAATTATTACATGGCTTTCATTATTATATACCAAGATTTAATGTCTAACAAATCTAAAAAAATAATTTAAGAAACTACTTCCTAATTATGCAATATTAAATAAGGTTTTTGCACTTTATAATTAATTTTTTGTTAGACTTGCATTTTATTTAGCTACACAAAGACTACTTAAAAATTTTATATAAACATCTCTTGTTTTATTCTATCCTAAAGAACCAGATAAATTAATCCAAGTTTATATTGAATTTAAAATACTTTAATACTATATTTCGTCATTCAAATTTATCATAAGATTTTATATTGTTTTCAAAGTTAACTGTTAAGTTGTCTCAATTATTTGATTCACTTCTTTACAATTATCTTCTATTAATATTTTCGATTAAGACAATTTGTAATTAAGATTAAATAATATTATTTGTTTTTCATATGCTATTTGCAAAAGTGAATCTGTATAATGAGAAATACATTCAACTATTGATATCTTTAATATTCATACTTGATTTTTAAGTGAACTATGCTTTGTTATAGATGGGAATCTCTGTTAAATTTAAAATATTTTATTCATATAACATCTTTTACTTTAAATATGTTTACTATTAATTGGATTAATTTATTGTATATTAAGGTTCTTATTCTGTTGACAATTTGATAATAAAAACTAAATGCTATAAAAAAGTAGATTATTGCTATTATTATTATTATGATTATTATTGTTCATCCTATTAAGATCCTTAATATAGTAGCATTACTAATTTAGGATTTTATAGTAAAGTTAGAATGCCCTCTAAAATCCAATATCTAACATAACCATATGATGGAGATCTTGTGAATAAAAGACTAATATGTTTAAGTAAAGATATGTCTCTTTATAAGATAGTTATCATTCTGAATGAATCCCTTATCCTTCTTGCATCTAGAATTAATTAAAATACTACTGAATTAAACATCTGCAGAATCTAAACTCATTTCTTCATATATGATTGCTGAAATCTCCTCTATTAATTTACTTAACTATTCATCTTTATTTAAAATAGGTCCCAAATTTTATACGATCTGAAATATCATATCTCTGCATATTCCTTTAGAATATTAATGTTATACAACGAAAGGTACTTTCTATCCTTTCATTCCTTAAATTAATTGCAATAATATCAAAACTCCATTTCTATGAGGCTTTTCGCTATATTATGCATATAGAAAATCTAAGATTTTCATCAAACCTGTCATTGAGGTTGTTTGTATGATTGGATTTTTTGAAATAACTAAGGTAAAAAATATACAAATTAGCTATCTTATGACTTATGATTACTTTCTCTATGCATTCCGGATTATTTATATTTATTATTTCTTTATGAATTAGATGTACACTACATTATACCAATTTTAATTGCACATTTTCAATTATTTCATCTTTAAACAAATAGAGAGAATGTAATAATGGATGAAGGTCTGCCTAAAATATAAATTTAATTACTTCTTATAATAAAGTTGTATTGAATAGTTTTAAAATTATATTTAGAGCTATTCCAGATGTTTAATTGCTTTTGCTTTCAGGTAGCCTAACAAGAATTTTTATGATTTCTTAAATAGGTAAATTTTATTAAGACTTATGCTTCTTGATTTCATCTATAATTCCTTAAATAAGAGGTTTCAAAACTTGATTTTTCTTTTAATCATTTAAAAGTTATTGGAATTCACTTGATAAAGAATCAATTAAATTCATTAATTTTTTAGTAAATAATAATCATTCCATTAAATTTGAGTTGAGTATGCTTTTTCTTCTTCAGTATCCACAAATTCATATTCATCTAAATTTAAGATATCGCACTATTAATTTTCAATTCTTGATGTGACTTAAAATTGTTCTAAAGTACAATCATAAACATCATTAAGACTCAACATATAATCTACAAATTGATGATCTTATAAATTACAACCAAAATTATTAACTTACATATTTTCTTGTAGTTAATTTTACTTTTTTTTTATTCTATATTTATGTTTCTAACATTTATTTCTATCTTGATTTTGTTTATTAATTTATTTTTACTAAACTATTTCTTCATCTTAACCATTATAAGAAATGTAATCATTCTTTATGAGGTCCAATGATTACATATTCGATTGAATAATTTATGGTTTTTATGGATTTTAAATTTTTAATTGCTCTGTTATAATTTCATTTAAATTAGGACTATTACCTATTAGATTTTAATAATTATCAATAAAAGATATTTATTAAGAATTCTTTACTAATTTTTTACTTTAAAATTTAAATTCTTAACAAGATTGATATAATTTTGAACTAAAAAATGGATTTTCAAGTTTTTAATTTACATCATAAAATTCATTATAATTTTCCATCTTAACTTGAATATAATTAGGTAAATTAATTTTAAATGCTTCTCTTTATATTCGATCAATAATAATTTCATATTATTAAATCATATTCTTCATCCTTATAAATAAAATATTTATACTTAGTATCATAATCCACATTTTATTAATTCTTAAGATAATGATAATTTTTTTTGATTAATTTATCCTACTCCTATATTAAATCAATTACTGGAACTTTTTATTTAACAATTTCATTTATAGCAACAACATCATCACTCAAATAGCTTTTTAAACATCCAAACTTGAGTTTTACTCTCTTAATTTATGGTGAAATTTGAGATTTCTCAACTTAAAAAAAATCTTCTATTTTTTTCCTTAAACTATTAATTAAATATTTTTTCCAAGCTTTAATACTTTTTTCATTTCCAGCAGTCATCAACATATATTTTTTTTGAAAATAATTTTTAGTTAATTGCTTATATTAATTGTAGCTTTAATTTCTATCACTTATTGGGGAATTAAGAGTATTAGTTTCAAATTTATTTGAGTATAAAGTTGACATAAATTTTTAAGGAGAAGCCAAATGTCTTTGTTTTCCTAAATATTTTGAAATATATGAAGAATCTATACAAAGATCCTATTTACTATTAACCCGACTAAAACTATTGCACTATTAATGAGAAGAGTATAAATTTTTTTTTTTCATACTTATAATAATTAATCTCGGTAATCTTAATTAGAAAAATAGCTTTAATCAATTTCCTTTTTTCTTTTCAAAATATATCTTGATCATTTATTATAGAAAATTGCTTTCAAACTCTTATAATGTGTATAGAATCGAAATTTATTTTATAATTAATTTATGAGTGAAGATCAATCTGAAACAAATAGAATGTCTGTAAAACAATTAGCAGGAAAGTTTTAATCAATGATTAAAACAACAACTCCTTAATAATAATAACCTCCTCCTTAGAGAAAAAGTGAAGTTTTTACTAGAAGTTCATTATCAAGAGAAGAAACTAATAAAATATAATAATTAGTCGGTCAGGTTCAATAAGAAATTAAATAAGAGTAATAAACAACTTAACTTTTGACTTAATAGAAAGATGAAATTAATGTTCAAACAATATAAACTAATTAAACAGATAATTATGTAGTTTAATCATAATTTCAGTAATCATATTAAGTTTAACTATAAAAAAATTAAATAATTGAATAAGATGAAGGGTAATTATTATTTTTAATAATCAAGGAGCTCCAAATTTTAAAATAATAAATTTCGATTTGAAAAAGAAGAATTAAAAAATTAAATAGAGTATGTTATTACTATTAATTAGAAAGTTGAAAGCAAGAATTTAAAGATATGAAAATGATGAAAAATAGTACATGCATATTGAAGCTAGAAAATAAGAATTAGAATAAAATTTATAATTAAAATAATCAGAATGTTTGCAATTATAATAAAAGTAATTCAAAATTAAATAAAATAGATTAGGAACAGCAGAGGAAGAATTTAGAAAAAAATAACAAGTCATTTTAGATGAATTACAAAAAACAATTGAATCAATAACCAAAGAAAATTCATCTAAAGATTTAAAAATTTAAGATCTTTAAGATAATCTTGTGATGTTATCAGAATAAATTAAAGAAAAAGAATTAAAAATAAGAGAAGTTTAAGAAACAGAATAAAAAGAAATTAGTGATATTGCAAAAGAAAGAATTAAATTAATTGGTGAGCTTCACAAATCTTAAGTTGAATTACAAGAATTATAAAAAACAAATGCATAATAATTTTCATAGATTTAATAGTTAACTAATAAAGCAACTCAGGTCTAAAATTTATCAAAATTAGAAATCGATAAATTAAAAGAGTTAAATTAAGAATAATAAGATAAACTATATGAAAACCAAACTAACATAGATCTTTTGAATAAAAAAATAAATGAATTGACTGAGTTAAATGATTAATTAAATTAATAATGTGAGCAATTACTCAAAAATAAAGCATTATTAGAAAAGGAATTAGCATAAAGCAAAAGAGATGTTGAAATATAACTTAAATAGAATTAAGAATTTATTCATGAACTTTAAAGTTAAATTTAAAATTTAAAAGATTAACATTTATAATTAGAATCTAAATATTCAAATGAATAATTCTAACTGAATGAATAATTGAAAAATTTTTAAGAATAAATATAATTGATTTCAAATTCTAATCATGAATTACAATATAATAATTAAGTTTTAAATAAAGAGTATACAGATTATAAAAGTGAAAGAGATTAAGAAAAAGATTAGTTAAACTAATTTATCAATTAATTAAAAAATGATTTAGATGAAGCTAAATAATAATTTAATCTTAGTTAATAAGAAATAGAATAAAAATATAGTGAATAAATTTAAAATCTAAATTTAACTATTACCTAAATGGAGGATTAACAATAATCATTTTTAAAAAAAGCGAATGAAGAAAAATTATAGTTGTAAAAAATTATTACAACCTAATAACAAGAATTATCTTTAGAGAGAGATTTAAGTAAATAAACAGAATTAAAATTCACAAATGAAATTAATTAACTAAAGGATGATTTATTGTAAAAATAAATCATAAATTAATAATTGAATGATAAAGTATATATCTTATAGGAACACTCCAAATCATAAGAAACAAATATCACAAAGAATATTGATGACTATAAAATATTATTAGATTAAAATAATTAGTAGATTACTTAATTATCAGAATAAATTAGATAATTAAAAAAATAGTAAAAGTAATAAGAATAAGATTCAAGAGCTACAATATCTTAGTATGAGTTGTAAATGAAACAATATTTATAAGAATTAACTTAAACAAAAATGCAAAAAAATGATGCTGAAAGTGAAAAATAATGTAAAGAAGCTTAATTAAATTAGATGATAGAAAAATAAAAATCATAGCTATAATAAGCAAATACTACAATCTAAGATTTAAATTATTAAATTTAATAGTTATAGTAAAATATTAAAGATTAGGATGATCAACGTCTTAGTATAATGTCTTCTAAACAATCAGCAATTTTTGAAAGAGAAAATTAGATAACAAATTTGGATAGTTAAGTATAGAAATATTAAAATGAAATACAATCAAAATAAGAAGTCATCTCAGAGTTATAAAGATTATTAGATAAATAAAAATAAGAGGTAACTTCCCTTATCTTAGAAAGAGAAAGAACATAGAAAAATAGTAGTCAATAGATGTATGAATTATAAATACAAATAAAAGATTTAAATTAAGAAATAAATCTTTTAAAGAATTCAATGGTTTAAGTTGAAAATGAAAAAAATATAAACAAAGAAGAATACAATTAAGCTACTGAATAATTAAAGGAATAGATTAATCGATAAAGTAGTATGATAACAGAGCTTCAAGAATTTCTTAAAGATAGCAATTAAAAAGAATTAATTAGCACCTAAAAAGCCACATAATAAAGTCTAGAAATTAATTAGTTATAATTAGAATAAGCAAAATTAAAAAATGAACTTACACTTTAATTACAGAATTATTAATCTCTTAATGATGAATTATAATTAAAGTATCTTTAATAGAAATAAAAGGATTAAGATGAAAACAATAAGTTTATTTTGAAATATGAACAAAATATATCAAAGCTTGAATAAGAGTTAGAACAATTGAAAAATGAAAACTTTAAATTAATTGAAACAGTTGATTAATTAAATTTAAAAATTAAAGAATTAAAAGATGAAAGTTAAAGTCAAAATAATTAAGTTTAATAAGCAAACACTCTTTATTAGTAAATGCAAAATGTAATAAATTCTTAATCTCACAGAATATAAGAATTAGAATTATAAAATGATAACTATAAAACTTAAATTGACTAATTAAATTAAACAATGATAGGATAATTAGAAATGATTTAACTTTAGAAAAAAAATATATAAGAGTTTTAAAGTAAATAACATGAACTTTTAATTGAAAACTAAGAAATTCAAGTAAAATTAGAAAATTAATTATTAAAAGAAAATTCTTATTTTAAGTAAATTGAAGAGTTTAAAATTTCTTTTGAACAATTAGAATAAGCAAACCTTCAATAAAATGATGAAATTTAGAAGTTGTAAAGTTAATTAGATATAGAAATTAAAAAAAGAGAAAACATTGAGTAAGAATATAAATTAGTAAATGAAGAATTTAATGATTACAAAGAATAAACAGAAAAATCTATTAATGAATTATAAAATACACTTATTAGTTGTAAAAATGAATCAAAATAGCATATAAATAATACTTTACAATAACAAAAATAAAAATCAGAGCTAGAATAAAAATTAACAAAGTTATAATAACAATTGTAAATTGAAAAATCTTAGTTTGAAAGTGACCTTCATTAAATGTAAGAGAATTTCAATTAACAAACAAAAGATTTATAATAATTGTTAAATCAAAAGTTAGAAGAAATTTAAAAATAGTAATAATAATTAAAAAAATAAGAAAAAATTGAAAATAAGATTTTTGAATTAGCTACTTAAAAGGATTAATTTATAAAATAAATAGAAATTTTAGAATAAAAACTGAAAGAATAAATTTCAGAAAATTAGTAACTTAATCAAATAAAAGAATCATTTAAGAAGTAAATGGATAATATTTCAGCCGAATTTGCTTATATAGAAAATCATAAACAAAAACTTGAGTAAGAGATAAAACATTTAACACATTAAAACTAATAATATTTAAATTAAATCTAAAAATATTAAGACTATATTTAATAATAATAAAAAGACTTGGAAAAGAATTAGTTGCAAAATAGAACTGCAGTTTTAAATGATAGTTAAGGTTTAATATTAGAAAAGGAATTAAAAGGTTTGCAATTAAAGGTAATTGTTTATTAATTGGCAATAGTTAGTATAAAAATTAAATTTTTATAGACATTTAATTTAAGATAAAAAAACTACTGATTTAAAGCAAACAGTGAATGAAGATTTAATATCAATTAAGAAAGATTATATAATTTCCTTTGAAAAAGTTGGAGTTGTAATTAGGGGAATAGATGAATTAGAAAAAATATCAGGACCATAGAATGCGTATGAAATTATATTAATTTAGAAATGATTTAAATAAGTTAAATACAGATTTAAGAGATTTTATTTCAAAATTTGCAAATACAGTAATGAAGAGTATAAAATGAAAAAAAAAATAGTTAAGTTATTAAATTATCAATTAAACGTTTTTTTCTTTTGATTTATGTTTCTCCAAGGATGTGATTAGTCAAAATATAATTAATATTTTTCACTATCTCCAATATTATATTAATCAAGCGTTTCAAAACTTTTTTCTGTGTCAATTAAATCTACATAAATCTTTTTTCTTGAAGTGCTTCTGATAGCGGGAAGAGTGAAAGAATTTTCACTTGAATCATCTCCAAATCTAAGAATTTAATTTTTCTTAAGAGCCAATTAAGCTTATCTTTGTGTTTTTTAAATAGCATTTTCTTCCACTTTAAAAGGACTTTTTTTTCTTTTGGCAGATTTACATCTAATTTTTAGATCTTCATATAATTTAATTGTTTTCTTAAACTCTATTTTAGTTTCAAAAAGTTCTAATTCATGATTATGTACATCTTTAAAATCAAAAACTCTTTCTTCAAATTTTTTCAATCTCCAAGTTTATTTTTATTATTCTAAATAAATGAACTCTTCTAAATTATTATTTTCTCCATATTTTTTGAAGTCATAATGTGAAAATTCATATAAACTAGAACCATCAGAGGCACATCTAAGAGAAAATTTATATTTTAATTCGCTAGGATTTTAATAAAAGATTTCTGATTCTTAAAGTTCACTTAAGATAAGTTATTATCCTTGATATTATTTTAAAACATGAAATACTCCATATTTTACAATAAAAATCTAAGAATTATCTGCTCCTTCTCCAACAGCTATTTAATTTCTTACATAATGCTTCAACACCAAGTAATAAGATAATTATTTTAAGTCTTCATCATTCCAATACTTTAATGGAGGAATTGTTTAAAGAAACACTAGTTTTTCATGATGTAAATTCTAAACTAAATATAATAATAACTTTACTGATTTTTCCTAGAATGTCTATATATTATTTTCTAGTTAAACATCCAAACTCACAATCTGATTTAGTTGTGACTGTTGCTGTTGCTTTAAGATTATCTTTTATTAAGGCTAATTCTCCAAAAGAATCGCCTTATTCAAGTGTTTTAATCTCTTAAAGGCTAAAAGCATCTTCATCGCCTTTTAGAGATGGTTATGAGTGAATTGTACCTTATGTTGAACCTTATTAAATTTACTAAAGACTAGAATGCTAAGTTATATTGTTGTTTTAAGCAATTTTTAATGAACTTCTCCTTTATCCTTTTTGAACATAAATACTAATACTTACTTTGCCAGATAAGATTACATAAAAAGTTCTGTTTTCTTTATTGATTTAAATGACTAAACTTTATTAATATTTTACTTTGTGTACCTGCAGGAATTCTTAAATAAGATAGATTTCGACATAGATCAGCTACTATAAGTGGTCCATATTATGTTTTCAATTTTTATACGAAACTTAATGATAGCATAAATAATTCGATTTATTCTTATTCTTTTTATGTTTTTTATTTTCTTAAAAAGGCTTGTCTTGCTTCGTTTAATAAATCATTTTAAGAAGGTTTGGCTGGAAGGAGACCTTTTTAATGAATCAATTTTTTCATCCTATTCATATTTTAATGATTATAATTATTATAATAATTGATTATTGTTAAATATAAATTTAACTTGTTAAACATCTCTTAAAGTTGTTGTTCTCAAAATTTGAAAAAAAAACAAAAAAATTATCAAAATTTCAAAAAAAATGGTGTCATTCTTCTAATTAGTTCATAAGATCTCTTCTTCCTTGTAATTTTGCATACTTCAATTGGCAGATTTGCTTTTATAATAAATATCTTTGTCTACTTTATCATTTATACTCCATTTATTATTATTGTATTTCTTAAAGAATTGTAAAACTGTTTCAGGATAAATAAAATTAACGAAAGCATAACCTAAATTTCCTTCTTTCTAATAATAAAATTTGAGTATTTACATTATTATCAGATGGCAAATAAAGGAAATCAAATTAAGATTTAAAATCTTTATTAAGGAGATTTCTTAAATCACTTGGTCTCATGTATTTAGGAATATTCTTAAGCATCAAAGTAGTTCTATCATCATTAAGTATCTACTATATTGAATAGTAAAATACATTTTCCTCAGTTATTTCTAAACTATAATAAAAGGGTTATAGCTTTGAGTAAATTTATCTTTCATCTTAATCTAAAATAAACCTCATTTCAATAAGTTCTTAGGTAAGTAACTTTTAATTGAACTGACTTCCTTCATCAGGCATTAATAATTTAAAGTCTAATAACTAAATTACGATACCAAATGAACACAATGATGCTTCAAATTTTTCATCTTGAGTTAGTAAAGGTCTAGGAATTTGTAGTTTCGGAATTTATTTTGATTCAAATGATGAATCACTAGAACTAGCTGGAGAGACTGTAGTATTAGCAAAAGAAATTCTATCTTTTTATGAAGGTGTACGGAGTGCTATGTCAATTATATCACAAATCATTATTTAATAATAAAAACGATGGTTCATTGATTTTCTAATTTTTTTTATAGTTGACCAAGTTTTGATTTATCCTTCGATATTGCTTAAACAAACTTAAAAAACCACTTTCTTATTACCAATTTTTAAAGTCTTAGACATTTTCTATAGTATTACAATAAATAACTTTGCTCCTTTATCTATATTTCTTATATTTTTCTTCCATTTTGTTATCAGAATCAAGAATATATTGCTATTATGGTTTAATCCTCTATCTAAGTTTATAACTTTATTTCATCTTTAAAATAAATTCTATAATAGCTTCTTTTTATTTTTTATCCAGATATCTAGATATGTAAGGTAAAGCACTTTTAATTTTGTTATTTTTCTTAATTTTATTTTTAACTAACTAGGCAATAGTATCATCTTCGTTCTAGTTGATATCTAATATTATTTGTCTGTATTTCTGAGATTCAAAAAGTAATACAAATAACTCTATTATAACTCATTAATTTTATATTATTTTCAATTTCCAAAGAAAATGGATTTTTGTTTTACCTTTTTTAAAAAGATCAAAATATAGAATTTAATAAATATTATCTAAGTGGCATGTGAAATTTAAGAATGCTAAATGTGATTCAGAATTTAGAAGAAGTTAAATTAAAATATATTATTTATAAAGTGTAAAATGCTACGAAATTTAATGAAGATAGTAATGAGAAATTCAAGGTTGGAATAGTTAATGAAATTTAAAGGGAAGCATAATATCAGTTGTTAAGGTATAGAATAATTTGATTGAGAGAGTTTAAATAGTTGATAATAGATACAAGACAACAATTTACATAATTAATTGGAGAGCAATTAAATAATGTAGTTGAGTTAATGAAATAAGACTAATTAGTGGATGATGATAATACAGATTATTTATTGACAGCTATAAAGAATGTGGAAGATAAATAAATCAAATATTAACTATTAGATAAAATAATTTTACCAACTTCAAATTTATCTAAGGAATAAATGAAAGAAATAGAAATGATTATTGAGAGTAGTTAATAATATGCAATGGGATTATCAATAATGGGGAAAATGGTTGCCTTCTATGATTATTAGAATAGATAAGTTATGAATAAATTTGTTAAAGATTTTGATGTCAGCAAAACGAATGCAGAATAGTTGGGAGCTGCTTGTATAGGTTTGGCTTTGGGTTAATACAAGGAAAAGTAATTATGGGATGATATAGCCTAACATTGTTTAAAGTTGGAGAAAGATTTTCATTCTTATATGAGGATAGCAACAGGAATGGGATTGACAAATCATGGTAATGTAGAATTTTGGAATGATTTTATTGAATAATTTAGATAATAATTAAAAACTATAAATGAAGATTTATTTACATAATCATTACAAGTTATTAGTCAGCAAAATGTCGTTTCATTAGAATAATGTGAAGCTGAAATTGAATACTATATAATTAATTCGCACATTAGAATAGAAAATATGATGTCAATATATGTATCTATGGCAAGAAATTAATTAGGATCATAAAATTTATATTCAAAATTATAATAAGATATATATGAGATGAAATTATCAGGAGATGATTTAATTTTATATGTAATAGAATTGATGCAAGTTAAAGATAGATTACCAAATTAAACTTTAAATGTTTTAGTAGCTAAAGCGTATTCAGAGAGTCAAAATCAAGAACTAATTGACAAATTAACAAATTTAATAAAATGAATACCATATTTATATTTATATGAAATTGTACAACAAAATTAAATCATGATTTAAAATGATCTTTGATTTTTGAAGAAAGTTCATCACAAGTTTTTTTGGCATCTCCTAATAACATATTATTATTAGGTTTATAGAATACTGGATTATCAATAGCAGCATATCCAACACCCATTGATCTCTTCATAACAATTGATTATTTAGCAGACCAAACTCTTAAAACAGGCATTCCTAATTAGTATATATATATTAATGATACCTGCAATTGGTGAATTAGGATTTTCTTCAGCAGCAGAATTGACAGTGTCATTAGCTCCAATAACAACAGCAAGATCAGTATCAGGGAAATCATCATTAATTTCATCCATTTCAAAAACTATATCATAAGGTATACCAGCTTCAGCTAATAAAACATTCAATTATCCAGGCATTCTACCAGCAACTGGATGAATACCAAATCTTACTTTGATTCCTTAATCAATAAGAGTCTTGCACATTTCAGCAACAGGATATTATGCTTTAGCAACAGCTAAACCATATCCTGGTACAATAATTATAGATTTGCTATTAACCATCATTTCAACAGCTTATTCAACATTTATTTCAGTATGTGTTCCTTCTACTTTTGTAGCTTATATAGCTGCTGGATTAACATCAAATCCTCCAAATATAACACTTGTTAAATTTCTATTCATTGCTTTACACATAATGTATGATAAAATAGCTCCTGATGATCCAACTAATGCACCAACTATTGTTAATAATGGATTATCTAACATAAAACCTTCAGCACATAATGCCCATCCTGAATATGAATTCAAAACTGTTATTACAACTGGCATATCAGCTCCACCAATAGCATTTGTTAATGTAACTCCTAAAACTTTGCTAGCAGCAGTAGCTGTTAATAATGCTGTCATTCCAACAGCAAAACTACCTGTTTGATTGTATACTAATAAAGATGCAACTGAGAGGGCTGCCAATGCAATATTGACTTAATTATGATAAGGAACAACAGTTGGATTTGAAGGTAAGAGATTTTATAATTTAGCAAATGCAATAAGAGAACCAGTAAATGTAATACCACCAGTAAAAATACCAAAGAATATTGATAATTTATGAACAAGGGCAGCTGGATCTTCAGCCAAATGAGGGAATACATGTAAATAATTACCAATTGATGTTAAGACAGCTGCCAAACCAACAAAGGAATGGAAACATGCAACTAATTAAGGTAAATCAGTAATAGCAACTCTTGTAGCAACAGTACCACCAATAGTAGCTCCTAACATAACCATAGATGCCCATTAAGCTAATAATTCTGGAGAAAATCCTTTATATCCTAAAGTTGCAGCAACACCTAATCCAACTCCCAAACATCCAAAACTATTACCAATTCTAGCTGTTTATTATTATGCTAATCCTCCAATAGCTAAGATACAAGCAATTGAAGATGCTAAATAAGATAGATTTGTCAATGGTTCTTTAGGAATTCCATAATAAAGTCCACCATAATATCCAAGTACTCCTGTTGCTCCTGCTAATGCCATCAAATAATTATATTCAGGAGGATCAGTTGGTCTTCTAAACATATTTAACATTCTTTATGTGACTAAGAA